CAGGCAGGCAGATAAATAAACAACAAATAAGTATTCGTGGAAAGCACAACCACCACCAATGCCAAAACAGCTTTCCTTTTTCAGGAGCATGTGTGATTGTGATTTTTGATTTCGTAAGTTCCAGGAAAAATGGTTATTAGTGTGCATGATGGGATTAAATCTGGCAATCACTCTTGGTAATATACAGAGAGAACCATAACTTTCAAGTAAGTGCTCTGATACCCAACCAAAGTGAAGAGCCTCTAGGTCCCATAGGACAACGGTTGAGGGACTTTGCAAACTAAGGCCAGGGGAGATGGAACAGGGATGAAATGAAGGGAAGGAAAACAAAGTGGGCTTAGGAGGGAGAACTCGGGCAGCATGCCAGCGGCTGAGCACCCTCTGCTGGAGGAGGCTGTGAGCTGGCCGCCCTGATGGGAAGAATGTCCACATTTGGCTTCAGAAAACGTCCTGAGAGACACAGGCTCCCCCCTTGCCTCTGCAGGGCATCTTCTCCTATCAACAAAAGGAAGTAGGAAGAAAGAAACAGCAAGAAGAGGCCTTCAAAGAAAGTATTTTGAAAGTTTTATCTATGGCAGCCCTGCAATCTTCCGTCTTTCCAGTGAACAGAGAAGAGCTCGAATATTCACACCTTCACATCAGAGGTGAATTGTTCATACAACAAATTCTCATAATATCCTAAGGCAAAGGAAGAACAAGGTGAGGGGGCTCCTGAAGAAGTATTGACGGAATATTAGAGCTGAAAGGGGCCTTGAAAAGTTGTACTTCAGGGTAATCACGTGCCATATAATCTTTCCAGTACAGGTATAAAATAAGTTCCCCATAATAGCACAATTCACGTACTGAACTGTGCAATAGGATTACAGCACCATCTTGTGGCCAATATCTATACAGCGCTGAACACAAAAAGCTCCACTGTTCCATTCTTACTTGGAGTTTAGTATTAGTTTCTAGTTTACTTTCTGGTAACCAAATACAACATTTTGAGAGTAATATTCCTCATTCTCACATATGCACATAACAAAAAGAATATGAATTTAAAAGAACAGGGGTGGCCGGGCACGGTGGCTCACGCCTGTATCCCAGCACTTGGAGAGGCTGAGGAGGGTAGATCACCAGGTCAGGAGATTGAGACCATCCTAAAACAGTGAAACCCTGTCTCTACTAAACAAATAAAAAAAATTAGCTGGGCGTGGTGGCGCGTGCCTGTAGTCTCAGCTACTTGGGAGGCTGAGGCAGGAGAGTCACTTGAACCCAGGAGGCAGAGGTTGCAGTGAGCTTAGATTGCACCACTGCACTCCAGGCTGTGTGACAGAGCAAGACTCCATCTCAAAATAAAGAAAGAAAGAAAGAATAGGGGTTATGTAGTCTGTAAACAGTAATGTTACATTTTTAGCTAGGGGACTTTTTTGGTACAATTATACTTTGGAAACAGGGAACTAGAGAGTGGGAAAAGGTGGAAAAAGTCAGAATTTCAAAGGAAATGACTAATGTCTTTCTCTGGGGTAAACCTAAATTCAAATGTCAGTGCTTCCTTACAGTCTTATGACTGTCTTCTCAACATGGACGAGTCATTAGTCAAAAAGCTAGTCCTTCAAATGGTCACTGAATGCTCTTGGTCACACGCACCGTTTGATGACATCCTTGCATCCACATGTTCCTTTTGCCCACATACCATACTTACGCAGTCAGGTTCATAGGACAAATAGTTATTCAGAGACCGGTTCCAAATTTCAAGCTATTTGATATGCAATTGAAAATGTATGCCGATTTTTCTACATTAAATTTTCTACATTTCTGCCCTATTTTGGTGCTTTTAAAAAGTACAACTTAATAATTTAAGTTCTAAGAAGGCTTTACTTAAAAATATGTTGAAATTACATTCTATATAAGGCAGATGGATCTCCACTTGCAAAGCAGTTTTATGAACTGGAGCTAGACTTGTCTCACATGTAAATTTCAAAGCATTCAAGGTTTAGAAGCTTGAAAACCTAAAAGTAAGGATTGTTCCCCTCCAAGCTTGTAGGTTAAGGTCCCACAAACTCCCCTGAGCAGGAGAAATTTGGGAATGCACAATCAGCTCTATTTAGCAGGGGGGAAAGGATTACTATGTTTGCAAATGAATTCTCTAGACTTACTTGTTTAATGTTTAACTTAAAAAAAAATTCGACTCATACTACAGCTAGATTCTGCCATCTCACAGACACCGTGTAAGTGGTCAGAAGACCTGTCTTTTGCTTTCCAGAAAAGTTCATGATATTAGCTCTTTTCTCCTACAGTGTAAGATGCTTATCGAATCATGTTTACTTGTGGATAATACACATAAATGGCATTTTACCACTGGGTTTGGTCCTCTATCCTTCTGTTCCATTACTAGGAGTTGAAGTTAACTCTGAAAATAAGGTAAAATATAGTTGAAACTTAAACAACGCAGGGATTAAGGATGCTGATCTCTCATGTAGTAGTAAATCTGTGTAAAACTTCTGACATCCCCAAAACTTAACTACTGATAACCTATGGCTGACTGGAAGCCTTACTAATAATATATTAATAAACAACTGATTAACACATATTTTATATATTATATATATTATACACATTATTCTTACAACAAAGTAAGCTAAAAAAATTAAGAAAATCAAAAGAAGACAAAATATATTACTTTTAAGTGAGCGTGGATGATCAAAAAGGTCTTCATCCTTGTCTTTACATGGAGTAGGCTGAAGAGCAGGAGGAAGAGGGGATGGTCTTGCTGTCTCAAGGTGACAGACAGAAGAAAATCTGCATATACATAGTGATCTGCACAGTTCAAACCCACATGGTTCGAGGGTCAACTTTAGCTTACTTTTAACCTAGCAATTCTGTCAACTAGTTATTTTTCAAATTTTCCCCTGCAAAAATAGTCCCTGCTTTACCTTTGGGAGCTATAAACCTTCTAATACAACTCAAATTCCACTTTCTTAGCCAGTCTCAGAAAAGGCATTCAAAGTTCCTTCATCTTTCTTTATAAAAAAATTTCAGGGCCAGGCGTGGTGGCTCACACCTATAATCACAGCACTTTGGGAGGCCGAAGCAGTTGGATCACCTGAGGTCAGGAGTTTGAGACTAGCCTGGCCAATGCGGCGAACCCAGTCTCTACTAAAAATACAAAAATTAGCTGGGCATGGTGGTGCATGCCTGTAATCCCAGCTTTTAGTGGGGCTGAGGCAGCAGGATCGCTTGAACCTGGGAGGCGGAGGTTACAGTGAGCTGAACTCCTGCCACTACACTCCAGCCTGGGCAACAGAGGGAGACTCCATCTCAAAAAATTTCAGGTTGGAGCTCGGTAGCTCACACCTGTAATCCCAACAATTTGGGAGGCTGAGGCAGGTGGATCATGAGAGGAGATTGAGACCATCCTGGTCAACATGGCAAAACCCCGTCTCTACTAAAAAGACAAAAATTAGCTGGGCATTGTGGTGCGTGCCTGTAATCCCAGCTTTTATGGGGGCTGAGGCAGAGGTTAGAGTGAGCTGAAATCCTGCCACTGCACTCCAGCCTGGGCAACAGAGCAAGACTCCATCTCAAAAAAAAAAAAAAAAAAAAAAAAAAAAATTTTTCAGGCTGGGGCGTAGTGGCTCACACCTGTAATCCCAACAATTTGGGAGGCTGAGGCAGGTGGATCATGAGGTCAGGAGATTGAGACCATTCTGGCCAACATGGTGAAACTGTCTCTACTAAAATACAAATTAGTTGGGTGTGGTGGCACATGCCTGTAGTCCCAGCTACTCGGGAGGCTGAGGCAGGGAAATCCCTTGAACCCAGGAGGAGGTTGCAGTGAGCCGAGATGGCGCCACTGCACTCCAGCCTGGCAACAGAGCGAGATGTCTCCAAGAAAAAAAAATCATGGCAAAAGTACTGATGGTTTTAGCATTTAATCTCTTTTCTATTCTCAACTCATAGGTCCTGCTATTCTTGTTAACCCTTGGGAGTGAGTACTGGCAGACTGAAACTAAAAGTTTAAAAAAATGATAAATGAAAAGGAATTTGTAGTTGGGGGATTACTGAACTGACCACTATAGAAAATCAAAACCTGTCTACTGAATTAAATGGGTTCAAATACTTAGAACAGTGCTTGGTACATACTAGCTATTACTATGATTGGAGAATACTAAACTGAATTGATACATACTTCATTTTCCCTTCACCATTAACATTTTAAGCTGTTTTTGAGTTTCAACTTCTTAGTAAAGGCAATTTCTTAAAAACATAAATTTTGCCTTTTCTTCCTATATTAGAAATTGAACAAGAAACACACTAGAGGTATACAGAATTTTAAACTTAGAATTTAGGGATCACGTAAATAGCTGCCTATTTATAATCTGTACTATGCATTTCCCAAAGAGTTTTAACATTACTATTTTAGTTAAAATTGTATTACAGAAGCGAAGTTCATCAGCCTCCTACCACTACTGGGCATATCAAATTAAAATGCAATGTAATGTTTGGAGGAAAAAAAACTTTTTTATTGGTTTTACAGGACAAAATTCATGTAAGACACATATTTGAATTACGACACCGCAAAGCTAGAGGCAAATAAAATATACCTAATAATACAAATTCTATACAATTAAATCAAGAACTTTAGGAAAATTTCTTGCAAAAATGTCAAAAAATATTTCATCTGGCCAGGCACAGTGGCTCACACCTGTAATCCCAGCACTTTGGGAGGCCGAGGGTGGATCACTTGAGGTCAGGAGTTCAAGACCAGCCTGACCAACATGGTGAAACCCTCTCTCTACCAAAAATACAAAAATCAGCCGGGTATGGCGGCACATACCTGTAATACCAGCTGCTAGGAAGGCTGAGGCACAAGAATCGCTTGAACCCAGGAGGTGGAGGTTGCAGTGAGGTGATATCACGCCACTGTACTCAAGCCTGGGCCACAGAGCGAGACTCGGTCTCCATAAAAAAAAATCTGATCAAACCAAGCTTTTAAAAAAACAAAACTAAAAACACTGTGACTTAGTTAACATTTATTTAATTTTAGAAACACAGTAAAAAACAAAAAACACCTATTTCTTTGCAATTTTGAAAATATCTAGCTTGAAACACCTTTGACATTTATCTGTCTTTTGCTCTCACATTTCAGGCTCCACATCATGGCTGGCTAGCTGGCAGTGATGGTCTTTTGTGCTCTCAACGTTTCTCTGGGCTTGGAATAGTTCCAAGGCCGCCTGTTCTCTGCGAATCCATAAAGTTTCCTAAGGGCCACTCGAGCAGCCTCTTCTTCTGCAACCAACACTGTTTCCCCAGGTCCTTCTGCAAGCAACTTTTTATCACTAGAAAGAGAACAAACAGTTGTCTTAAATCACCTGGAACATAAGACAGTACACAAAGCAATTAGAAAGCAATTATGCTTTCTACATCTTATTTCAATAACACCCATTAGAAGTAACACAATAGCTTTGATAGATCTTAACTAGCTTTGGATTTTAACTAGCTTTGTTGCAAGTTCATTACATATGGTAATTAGACTAAGATACATTTGCGTTTCCTTAGAAATATATACAACTCTATTTTTAAAGTCCAAAAAAGCAAGCAGTATCTATGTTTTCAATTGTTGATGAGATTTGGAAGAATATGGAAACAAATATCTCCTGAAAAGCCCTGAAACTATAAAAAATATTATCAGAAATTATGACTGTTCTTATTTTTAATGTGTGATATAACTTGGGAAAATATTCTGTTGAAAAAATTATGACTTTTGAGTTTGCTATCTAAACTTTAACACAAATGAGAAACCAGTTCTATATTTCAAATTAGGAACTTTAGGCCAGGTGTGATGGCTCACACCTGTAACACCAACACTTTGGGAGACCAAAGCAGGAGGAATGCTTGAGCCCAGGAGTTCAAGACCAGACTGGGCAGCATAGTGAGACCTCTTCAAAAAAAAAAAAAAGATAAATAAATAAAAAGAAAAAAAAAAAGAACATTAGATCTACAAAAACACTACTACCCAATAGTAATCACTGGAGTAATATGGCAAATTACTTCTTACTTTTTTTTTTTAGATAAAAGATCATTCTCCAAAATGTCCCGATCTCATTAAAAATTATTTTAAAATGTCACCTATAATAGCTATACTATATTCATGTGCATATATCATTTCCCTCTTGTGGAATACCACATTTATTTCTAATTTTTTTTTTTTTAGTTCAACAACTATTACTGACCACCATGTCCCAGCAACTAACTGTTCAAGGTATGGAGCATAAAGAAGGCAACAACAAAAGTCTTTGTTCACAAAATTTGTCTGCAAATTTAAGGCAAACAACCAAAAATTGAAATACCATAATCAAAGAACAGTAAAATGTTAAGACGCTTGGCATTTTGTCAAAATTATTCACAGAAATACTGAGTACATTTTTTTTTCTACCAGCAGTGAATAAACTGGTGACAAAAGATATGTTTAAAAGGTCTGCCAATCAGATAAGTAACAAGGAGTAAACGGAAAAGGAAACTTTTTACAACACTACCAATTTTCCCCACGCAGTAACTTCTATTTCTTTTATACGTACAGTCTTTTGTGATACAAGGATTAGAAAAATCTTTACCTAAATTTTAATCTAGCTTTTTAAAAAATATTCAATATTTACATTTAACACTTTAATCTTAACATCTGAAATTAATTTGGGAGAGTCAACTTTTTACTAACAAAACGAAAAAGCTCTCAACATGGGGTTATTTATACATTTTGATGGACAGCTAAGCCCTTCCTTTTCCAGTTCTAGGCTCAGCTGAAGCTACTGACAAGAATGGATTAAGGTTAAATCTGCAACATCAAGTCAACATTTGTTTTTGTTTTTTTTTTTGGTTTTTTTTTTTTTTTTTTTTTGAGATAGAGTCTCACTCTATTGCCCAGGCTGGAGTACAGAGACACGATCTCAGCTCACTGCAATCTCCGCCTCCTGGGTTCAAGTAATTCTTCTGCCTCAGCCTCCCGATTATAGGTGCACACCACCACGCCCAGCTAATTTATTGTATTTTTACTAGAGATGGGGTTTCACCATGCTGGCCAGGCTGGTCTTGAACTCCCGACCTTCTGATCCACCCACCTCAGCTTCCTAAAGTGCTAGCATTACAGGCATGAGCCACTGTGCCTGACCTCATTTGTAATTTTACACAGAAAAATTTAAGATAGCATACTGAAAGTCTATTATAAATAACTGGCTGACAAAAGCTACGATTAGCAAAACTCAGATTCCTCCTAAGAATAACTAGCAGGAAAGGAAGTGGTAAATAGCCACAGGAAAGAGATTTTTTAAAAAATCTTTTAATGCAATTCAAATTCAGGAATTTGAAGAGGTTATGTTAACATTCGTTATGGAATGTGAAGAGTCTGTTTTTAAGGCTTTATGAGGAGTCTGTTTTTAGGATTTCCTCAAAGTTATAAAGATTAAATTTTCACTAACCAGTATAAGCCAACAAAATACAAAGGCAAAGCTGTGGTGCCACCAGACTGTCTAGTAAGTCTTGATTCAGGAAGTGAAATATTCCTTTTCTTCAGTTCTTCTACCAATAGCCCCATAGGATTTACTATCTTCCACATCTCAAAGAGCTCTTTTCCAGTCATTTGAGTAATTAAGAAGTCCTGCATATAAAAATATAATTTGTACATTTTAATTAGTATAAAGAACATTAGGACCACAATTCAAAATACATTTTTTATACTTTTTAAATTAGAAAAGTAACAAAGTACATTTTTAACAGAAATTTAAAACTTAATGGGAAATGAAAAACAAAAATGTGCTATTCTCTTTCATTCCCATAGTTTTTACATAAAGTTTATTACAAAAATCATAATTGGATAAAAAAAACTTGAAAGCCCAAGAAACCTATTTCAAGCAGTATGATCCACCAAAATGCCACAGAGGGCAGACTCCGTTTTTCTTGTTTGAGACAACGCTTCACTATGTTGCCTAGGCTAGACGGCAGAAGCCTGATCTCAAGTGCACTGAAGCCTCGACCTCCCAGGCTCAAGCAATCCTCCCAGCTCAGCCTCTTGAGCAGCTGAGACTACAGGTGCACACCACCATACCCGGCTAGTTTTCAAATTTTCTGTAGAGACGAGGTCTCCGTGAGTTGCCCGGGCTGGTCTCGACTCCCGGCATCAAAGGATCCCCCTGCCTTGGCTTCTCAAAGCACTGGAATTAACAGGCATTAGTCACCGCGCCCTGCCCTATCTTGTAAATTAGAATTATATTCCTATAGGTTAAGAAATAAATATTTAAAAGAATTGAGTCAACAAATAAAAAGTAGTAACTTCTGGTAGAAACTCATGTAAAATGGCACTCAGATAACAATATGTCCTCCATTAATAATGTTTTTAAAAACTCGGCCAGGCACAGTAGCTCACACCTGTAATCTTGGCACTTTGGAAGGCCACGGCAGGCAGATCACTTGAGGCCAGGAGTATGAGACTAGCCTGGCCAACATGGTGAAACTCTCTCACTACTAACAATACAAAAATTAGCCGGGCATGATGGTGAATGCCTGTAAACCCAGCTATACGGGAGACTGAGGGACGAGAATCACTTGAACCAGGGAGGTGGAGGTTGCAATGTGCCAGGATTGTGCCACCACTGCACTCCAGCCTCGGCAGCACAGCAAAACTCTGTCTCAAAAAACAATAATTAAAAAATAAAAAATCATTTAAAAAAATCATTTAATAATTTCACATTAACTGTCTTTTTTTTTTTAATTGCATTTTTGTTTTTGGGGTACATGTGAAGAACATGCAAGACTGTTGCACAGGTACACACATGGCAGTGTGATTTGCTGCCTTCCTCCCCTTCACCTGTATCAGGCATTTCTCCCCATGCTATCCCCCCTCCAACTCCCCAACCCCGGCTGTCCCTCCTCTATTTCCCCCCAACCGACCCCAGTGTGTAGTGCTCCCCTCCCTGTGTCCATGTGTTCTCATTGTTCAACACCTGCCTATGAGTGAGAACATCTGGTGTTTGATCTTCTGCTCTTGTGTCGGTTTGCTGAGAATGATGGTTTCCAGGTTCATCCATGTCCCCACAAAGGACACGAACTGTCTTTTAAAACTGCAACATACTACTAATTATTTATATGACTAAGATAACTGAGAAATTATGAACATTCAAAGCTGAATTGATTTTGCCAGTAAAAAACATTATGTTGTATAGAAATTATTGAAGCAAATGTTAATTTTCACAGCAATTTACATATTCCAATTAACTTGTATCAACGAACATTAGCAATATGATCACAAGATGGATGGAGGTAGGACAAAAGAAATTTAAACGGATCCTTTAGTTCACGAAATGACGTTGATTCATTACAACACTCCTCCACTCACATTAAGTGGATGAACACTTTCAGCTTCATTAATAAAAAGTATTAGGCCAGACATGGTAGCTAATACCTATAATCCCAGTACTTTGGGAGGCCGAGGTGGGAGGATCACTTGAGTTCAGGAGTTCAAGACCAGCCTGAACAACATAATGAGACCCCATCTCTGAAAAAATAAAATAAAAATTAGCTGGACATGGTAGGCCTAAAACTATGCGTTGCTGCTAGACCGAGTGACCCCCTGCCAGCAACCGGTTCCTGCTTTTAACTTTTTTATGACTCTTTAAGAATAAGCCTTAAACCTTACCTGACTGCCTTGTACCCTAGATAATGGTCTAGCAAAGCAAATGACACAATAAGGGATGGCTTTGATTTCTGACTCAGAGACTCCTGAATGGGAAAGTTGAGATAAGTTGAGTCAGGAGTAGACAAAGGAGAATCCGGTTAAAAGATATTCTGATGAGCAAAACCAGAAAACCTTTTCACATCTCAGTTCTAAAACAAGATCAAACCAGAGATACCTGCAGCCAGGAGGAATAATGTCTGGATGTAAACAAGCTTTGTGATCACAGGAAATTCTGTTACTTTTTACACTGATTGTGTATCTGACTTTTCAATTGTATAGGCCATGTAAAGTATACATTTGCATTTCCTCTTGCAACCATTGTGTATCTGACTTCTCTATTGTATAGGCCATGTAAGGTATACATTTGCATTTCCTCTTGCTATGACGTAAACCAGAGCCAAGAAAGTATATTTATTCCTGGCCTTTGAAAAATAAAATTTGCTGTTTAGGCACAGCCTATCAGCCCTCCAGACGCCTCGCTTTCTCTCTGTCTTTATTATTTTTCCAGGCACATTCCCTCTTCCAGGTATTGGGACCCTCTTGCAGGTCGAGAGACCCTAGGCAGACGTGCCTACCCGTCCCGGACGGTCCACAACATAAATCCATTCTCAGTAGGGCATTTTGAAACTTTTAAAATACAGAGGTAGATATGCCTTATGGGCTATGTATGTATACAAACATATATAAAAATCACTGACCTGCTATCTGTCATATGGAATAACCACTTGTAAGAAAACACAATTCTTTTCCATCACCTAAGCTATCAGTAGAAATACAGAAAGAAAGCTCAATTTTTCTTAAGTGATTACCTTCTATTACTTCCTTCTCTTTTTTGCTATTTGTTCCTGGTCTTATTAATTTATTATTAAAACTTTCTAGTAGGGTGTGAGTTGACTACTCCAATCTCATCTCCCCAGAATAGGGAAGCAGTATGAAGAAAGGGTGTTTCTAAAATGCACATTTGATCATTAAAAACCTATCACCTCCAGCTGTCTCGACACAAAAGCATCAAATACTTACTCATGGCTAAGAGTGCTATTCTAGTTTCCAGATGCAGACATCACCTGAAGAGCTAGTTAAAATACAGATTCCTAGGCCCTACTCCCAGCAATTAGGTACTCTGAGGGGGCATCTGAGAATCTGCATTTCTATCAAGTTCTCCAGTGATGCTGACACTGACGCCCAAACCACTTTCTGAGTAACACTGTTAGCTCTTCTGCACACTGGCTCTTAAAGGTCCAGAATCATCTCTGATCACTTCTCCAAATGCAATATGATCCAGCCACAAAAAATTAACTGTAGTTCCCAAGCAGAAGCTCATCCTTGACACTGTCTTCCCAAAACATCCTTTTTAGGGGCAAAATTGCTTCTATAAATCCTTTCCTAGCCTTACTAAAGTCGGTTGTTGTGTCCTCTGAGTTCACTCTGTACCTTAAAACCTATCCGAAAGCACTTCCGCAATTCATTCCAACTGACTAATGAGCTGTGAGCAGGATCAAATCCTATTTAGACTGTGGCTCCAGAGCTCAGCAGAGTGCCTGGCCCATAGGAAGGCACTCAACATTAAGTGGATGAACAAATGAAATAGGACAATCCAAACCTGTCAGTTCTACTATGGGAGACATCAAATTTCGACTTAGAAATAGCTATGTGAATTATCTATGTTTCATAAGATCTTTACTTGGAACTGTTAAGAGGCATTAAAATATGTTAAATATTTCCAACATAGTTTCATGACTACCTTGTAGAATTTCAAAATGGTGATCAAAATTGCTTACAATTTTAAAACTTCACAAAGCTGATAATAAAGAGACAAGAAATCACAGAGAACTTTGCCAGAATTTCCATAGGAAAAGAAACTATCTTAACTGGAAGGAGAAAGGTCTTATCTGAGTCTGAAGTGTCAGTAAACACAGATATCCTCTAACAAAATTATCAAACTTGGTATCAAAACTAAATGAACAGATTCCAACAGCATGTGATGCTGGTTTAAAGACTGAATGCCAGTCTGATAGATGCCTGAATCAAGACTGTTTTTATGACTTAAAGTGATTGTGCCGGGCCAGGTGCAGTGGCTCATGCCTGTAATCCAAGGACTGTGGGAGGCCGAGGCAGGCAGATCACATGGGGTCAGGAGTTCAAGATCAGCCTGACCAACATTGAGAAACCCCGTCTCTACTAAAATGCAAAATTAGCCAGGCATGATGGTGCATCCCTGTAATCCCAGCTACTCGGGTGGCTGAGGCAGGAGAATCCCTTGAACACAGGAGGTGGAGACTGGTGAATCAAGACTGCACCACTGCACTCCAGCCTGGGCAACACCATCTCAAAAAAAAAGTGGTTGTGTGTATTATCAAAAAGTGAACAAAAACCTCATGTTTTCATCCAACAGCAGAGGATAAAACTTCTCCCAGCTAATAAATTATAAAAGGACAGTAGGAGTCACGCTGTACCAATTACATAAGAATCTGAATTAGCTAAGCTACTAGCTAACAAAGAATTATACATGAGAGGGACTCGAAATCCAAGATTTCAACACTTGGAAGAGCAGAACAGCAGCTGGTAATGAAGCACAGGCCTCGGCATAGCGTCCTTTGACTTCACGCATTCACCAAACGTCTACTGAGTATCTCTCATGCAGGCAGTATCCTTGGCCCTACGGATGGAAACCTAAAGACGACATGGCTTGTAGTCCTTCAGAAATCACAACTCACAATTTAATACTCACTTCTGATGATATCCACAATAAGAGACACGTGGAATAATTAAGGCCCTTCCATAAAAAAGCTTTAGGTCTTTCTCAGTTTTTCTTGGGAGAAAAACTAAGGTGATATAGCAAAGAAATGAATTACAAAAGAAAATTTTCCCTTCTAACTCAAGCATGTCCAATTAATAATTACATACCCTGATGAAAAGTGCAGTCCTCTCGGGTCCACTGCTCTGTAGCAGGGCTCCAATAACTGCAAAGAAAGTTTGCTGTAATACAGTCGGGGGCACTGGGAATTCCTCACTCAGTGTTAACTGCTCCACAGCCAGGTTTCTAGCCACGTGACACACGACTTCCTCACCAGTGAGAAAGTCAACAAGACTTCTGATGCCTTCTGTGGGCAAGTCTGGGAACTCGTCTTCAAGAAATTGTGTGAGGCAAGTCTTTGAAAAAGATGTCCCTTGTTCAGATAGTTCTTGATTACTTTTAAGATTCAGAAGAACAGCTTCTTTCTCTATTCCTAGCTTTTGGCGTTTGGCCTCCTCACTTCTAATATAGCAGCTATTAATAAATGCAGTTTTGAGAAGATCTAAGGAAAAGTTTTCATGTAACCGATGTCCAAAAGCTTGTATTTCTGCATGGTAATCCCAGTTGGGCTTCTCTGAACTGAAAATGTAAAGACAGTAAGAGATGGTAAATAGAACAACCTGTTACTGCAATATAAAAATTTTTCACTGTGTTGTAATGTTATTAATTACATAAAGGAAATGAAAAAAGGTTATACTTCTTTTTAATGCCAGGCTGATATTCTAAATATTAAAACTGAAGTCAGATAAATACTAGCAGTTCTTCACTATATTCTACACAAATGGTCAGATTAATTTTCCCTTTGATCCAATTGTCACATGAAATTCATTCTTCAATATAAAAGAATAAGCCATTAGCCTAACTTTTAGGTTCCTTATTTCTACTGTAACCACGAAACTATGTTTTATACCTAAATACAAAACATAAATGATAATTTCAGATTCAAGCCATAAACACTAGGTACGTCATATTTACAGTCATCCCTCAATATCTGTGGGGGATTGGTTCCAAGGACACTCTTGGATACCGAAATTCATGGATGCTCAAGTCTCATATAAATGGTGTAGGAGAGGCATACTTCACTTCATTGCACTTCGGTCTATTGTGCTTCACAGATTTATTGTATATTCTTTTTACAAATTGAAGGTTTGTAGCAATTTTTCATGTGCTCACTTTGTGTCTCTGTGTCAGCATTTTTTTTAGCAATAAAGTATTTTAAATTAAGGCACATATATTGCTTTTTAGACAATACTACTGTACACCTTAAATAAACTACAGAATAGTATAAACATAACTTAAGTATGCACTGGGAAACTAAAAAAGTCATGACTTGTTTTATTGCTGTGGTCTAGAACCGGCCCTGCAATATGTCTGAGGTACACCTGTATTTGCATAGAACCTATGCACATACCGCTGTATACTTAAGTCATCTCTGGATTACTTATACGTAACACAGTGTAAGTGCTACATAAATAGCTGTTATCCTGTATTGGTTAGGGAATAGTAACCAAAAAAAAAAAAGTCTGCACATCTTCAATACAGAGAAATCATTCTCCCTTACCCCCAATATTTTTGATCTGCCATTGGGTGAATCCTTGGATGTGGAACACACAGATATAAAGGACACCTGTATTCTTTATTTTATTGGTTTAGGTTTTGGAAATATTCATTTAAATTAGCAATTAAATAGTGCTATGATACTGCTATCTATCCATATCATAAGTAGGTTAAAAGTTCATCATTTCCCAGAATGAACTAAAAAGTCTTAAAAAAAATAAACTCAAAATAAAATCCCTTTAAGAAACAAAGGGAAGCAAAGTATAAAAAGCTGGGTTGAAAGTCATAAGATCTATCCAATAGATCCATAAAGTTTCTTCCAACTTTGAGAGTCTAAAATACTTAACATTATAATAAATAGGAGAATGTGAATTAAGAAGAGATGTTATTTTTGCCATAATCTTCTCTGTTAGAAGACCGTTCTTACTGGTAGGGGTACAAAGTGGATTAACATTTTTTGAAGGACAATGTTAAAGTACTAATAGCTTTCAAAATTTCATACTATATATGCATCCCCAAAGATGAAACAAAGATACACACTGTTACATAGGTTATGATGGCAGTAATATGGAGCTCGTAGGCCCAAAAACAGAACCATAAAAAAGAGTGAGGTACATCTCTTTGTAATGCCATGACAACATGTCGAAGACACATTATTAAAGAGAAAAAGCAAGATGCAGGAATTTAAATTATGTAAAGTCTCATCTGATTTGGAGCTATAAAAACCTGTCTCTCTCTGCCAAACCTGCTACCAGAACGAGGCTAATTAGGGCTATGAGAGCCCACACTTCACTGCACTGTACTCCTGGGTCCCTTTCCCTGAGGGGAAAGCATTTCCCCGTCTCCATCACCACTCTGGTCTCTCCCATGCATTCAAACAGGTGCCTGCCTTTCTAGAAATAAGAGAGAGGGAGGGGAGAGAAGCTAGGGAAAAAGAAACTGGAGTCTGTGCCAGGGCTTTTGGGATTAAGTTCTTCATTCACTAAGGAAGGGATTGGGAACACAAAGGATCTGGGTAGGAAAGTTTGGGGCAACTGGTTGGAGGGAAAGTGAAGTTCAATGATGCTCTAGATTTTAAAACTCACATGTATCACTTTTTTCTTAAAGCCCGGGACACAGTAGGAAAAAAAAAGACTAATTAGGGCAAAAATCTAAAGCTAACTTATTTTCCTTTTACTCTAGACAGACTTCAGGTTGTAGATTTTCTTTTCTCAATTTACCACGTTGTGGACTGCTTTCTTCCCTCTTGTCGGAATTCGCAGGCATTACAGATGGGGGCTTCAGCACCCAAGTCCACATAAGGAAGACCCTCCAATTTTCAGTAGATAAAATCCTACCTGGGAATTTCAAAACATAGGGAGCAGCCCGGAGCTCTACCGCCCGCGGCACAAATCCATTTTCTTTGCCTCCGGCCACGCGCCCAGCTCACGGGTGTCTCTACCGCAAACTTCCTAAGGCTCAACCCAGGGACACATCAGCCGCAGGCACGAAGCCGCGGAAAGGAAACCCAGTGTCTGCGACCGCCACCCTGACCCCTTCCCGAGGCGGCTCCTACCGGCGCACGGGCGGCGGCGGGCACCGCAGCAGGCGCCGCCGCTCTAACTCCTTCTGGAAGCGGAAGGCGGCGCGGAATCCCTTCTTCACTCCCCGAACCGGAGGGACCAGCTTGGGGGCGGCTGGAGCCAGGAGGGAGCGAGGCCCCTGCTGGAGCAGTCTTACCAGCCCTGACGCCATTGCAAGGCGGAAAGCGACAGAGGACGAAACGAAAGTAGTCGGCGAAGTGTCGCCGTAACACACTTCCCCCGGAACTGGGTACGCGGAGAGAGGGCGGAGAAGACAGCTCCCGGGGCGGGGCGACTGAGAGAGGGCGGGGCGTAGACAGCCCCCGATGGGGGGGCGACTGTGATAGGGCGGGGCAGAGACAACCCCCGGGGCGGGGCGACTGAGAGGGCGGGGCGGAGACAGCTCCCGGGGCGGGGCGACTGTGATAGGGCGGGGAAGAGACAACCCCTGGGGCAGGGCGACTGAGAGAGGGCGGGGCGTAGACAGCCCCCAGTGGAGGGCGACTGTGATAGGGCGGGGCAGAGACAACCCCCGGGGCGGGGCGACTGAGAGGGCGGGGCGGAGACAGCTCCCGGGGCGGGGCGACTGGGGCCGTGTTGACACTGCGCGTGCGCTCGTTCTGGCGTCCTTCGCGTTACTTTCCAATGATCAGGGCTTGAGGGCGTTGGGGTCTCAAAGTTTCTGGGAGAAGTTGCTTCATCCTGTCAGTTGTTCTCTTGTTCCTTTTTCTCTCGTTACAGCAAAGCAAACAATCTGTTTCACTTTCAGATTAAGGAAACATTTAAATCCTCAAAAAATAAAAATTCTTAATTTCTATTTAGGGTTCCAGACCATCAGTCCGGCCACTACTGAGCAAGTATTTACCGAGCTTCTATTTTTTGACCCAGCACGTCTCCAAAACCCTTAGTTTTGGAAACCCTAGACTCAGAAATGTTGGCTTATCCAAAATTAAAATGTGTCTTTAGAAACAATAGTACATATTTTTGAACGTTCGGAAAATGACTGGAAAAAAACGTAAAAACGGTAACAGTGGAATTACAGTTTCTTCCTTCTTTATCTTAACACTCTTTAACAGTGCAGCTCTGCTTTCTATCAAACTGTTAATAGAGTACAATTTTTAAAAGAACGTATTAAGTCACAAAGGGAGGCTTGTCTGAATTCCCAGTTTTGAGTTGCCTGCTGGACATCTAGACCCTCAAGGGGCAATGTTTTCTGTGATCTATTTTTTAAAGGCATCTATGTTCCCAGCAGTCATTCAGATTGAACTCCTATGTCTTTGATTGTTCCTTTTTCCACAAACCTCCTATTCTGTCCAGTTACCGAATGCTTTTTCAATTTATTTCCACTGCAGGCAGCTGATGGCTCTCCTCACCTCTTTCTGTGGTTATTGGAATTGGCCTGGTAACTTTTTCATTTCCCCAGACACAACTCACCTACATTCATCTCCCTGAAGCACAGACCACAAAGCACATTATGACTTAGCTTGAGATCTTCAATACCAGGATCATACAATTCAGTCTGGGTTTCTTAGCTTGACCATTTCAAAAGGGAGAATCTAATGGGTTCATCCCAGCTTATAAAAGGGTTCCCTTTGGGAAGGAAGAGAGCAAAAAGCGAGCTGGGCACAGACCAAAAAACAAGCTGATGGATTTCTGGTTGCAGTAAATTCTTCAAGAAGGGGTGAAAGGAGGTTACGATTGACGTTTGTGTTACAATGTATGCAAAGTACTGAAAATTCATGGAACATCAATCTGGTAACTGGAATAGGAGAAAACACAGGGAACTGTCGTTTCTGTAGAATTTAATTTATTAGGAAAAATAATCAGGGAACTGTCCTTTCTGTTGAATTTACTTTATTAGGAAAAATAATCTAAAGCCAGTTGTAGCACAATCTTGTTAAGTTAAAATGAGATGTATCTGTGTTGAGAGTTTCTCAGTAATACAATGAGAGCATCATTTGCAGATTTTAAAAAAATGTAGGTCCTGATGAAATTTCTTCTAATAATGCCCTTTACAGAACTCAGGAATTAACGAGTTTTTAAAAATTTACTTATACATTTTCAAATTTATTCAATAAACAAATAATAGGAGAAGTACTTGGTTCCAGGATTCAGGTTCAGAAAACTTTGAGGAAGAAAAAGGCCAATGTTTTTTTCCACCCTCAAAAACCTGATTTTCCTTTCACCTGCTGTTAGCTCTAATTTGATCAGTGCTCGCAGATGTCAACAACTTTCCAGTTTTCAGTGGGTTAAGGTCAGGTGGAAGGGTGGGAAAAAGTCGCATTTAGGAAGAGGAAAAGGTGAGGTGATTGACATTTCACTTTAACCCGTGGGGAGCACTTTAACCTTTTGTGTTTTGATGCCAGGGATAGTGCTGATATATTCCTTCAATTATGGTGAGGGCAGCGGAATACAGGACGCAGAAAGAAGGGGAACAAAGTCAGTGAGCTCTGCTATAGACCTTCCTGGACAATCAAGCAATTCTGAAACATCTGAGATTACTCACCATTACTTCATAGATTAGCTAAGAAATAACTACCTAATAGTGACCTTTAATCCAACTCATAAGGAAAATTACATACAGAAATAATTACCATAGAATGAAAATTACTATAGTTAAAACCGTTCAAATTACAAAATTGGAGTTCCTGATACATAGCGATATTGAATCAGTCTTCACCAAAGTTATATCTGTTCAACTTAGCTTTGGAAAATTTGACTTGATGGAAAATTTGACTTGATCTAAAAGCCACAACAGAAAACTAATGATAATAAAACTAGCAAAAGGCCTTAGTAAGCCTGAGCAACAAATAACATCTTAGGAAATAAATGTGGAAAAAATGTTCATGAAAATGCATTAAGTAAGCAATATAAACATGAAAATACAATTAGAAATCGGATACTTGTGCTGCATAGAAAAGTGATCAAGAAATTTAATTGGTTTCATGGAGCTTATTCCAGAAAATATGTTCTTAAACAAAAAAGAAAGGCATCAATGTTAGTATAACTCTGTTATAAACACTTTAATTCATAATTATGGAAGTAAAAACATTTTTGATGTGTTAGAGCCAGCAAAATGGCTCACAACAATTCCCACCTCCTGGTATTTACACCCTTATTTATTCCCCTCTCACACTGTGCCAGGATTAGTCTGTGTAACCAATAGACTATGGATTTTTTTAAATCAATTCTGGAGTTAGGTGATAAAAGACATCATAGCTTCCATTTTGGTCAAATACCTTGTATTTCTTGGACTAGTCTCCTATCAGGAAGTCAGCTGCTATGTTACCACGATGCCTAAGAAACCATGTGGAAAGGCTCATGTGGTGAGCAGCTGAGGCCTCCTGCCAACAGCCATGTGAATGAATGAGTGGTCTTAGACATGGATCCTCCACTTCCAGTCAGACTTTCAGATGACTGCCTACTGGCCAGTGCCTTGACTGCATCCTCATGAGAGAACCTCAGCCAGAATCAACGAGTTAAGCTGCTCCCAAACTCCCGACCCCCAGGAAATATATGAGAGAATAAATATTTGTTGCTTTATGCCACTAAATTTTGAAGTGATTTGTTACATAGCAACAGATAATTTATACACCCAGGGTCACATTGATTGGAAGAAAATGGCAAAATAAAAAATACTCTATATTCACGAGACTTAGGGGATGGCCTCCGAGTGCTGGGTCTAGATGGAAGCATAGATTTTGCTAAATGAAGAAGAGATGGAAAGGAGGAACAGCATTCCATAGCATGCACAAAGTCATCAGGAATGATGATGACTTGGTAAATTCCCTTCAAAAAGTGAAAGCTGAGAGGCCGGGCGCGGTGGCTCAAGCCTGTAATCCCAGCACTTTGGGAGGCCGAGGCAGGTGGATCACAGGTCAAGAGATCGAGACCATCCTGGTCAACATGGTGAAACCCCGTCTCTACTAAAAATACAAAAAAAAAAAAAAAAAAAAAAAAATTAGCTGGGCATGGTGGCGCGTGCCTGTAATCCCAGCTACTCAGGAGGCTGAGGCAGGAGAATTGCCTGAACACAGGAGGCGGAGGTTGCGGTGAGCCGAGATCGCGCCATTGCACTCCAGCCTGGGTAACAAGAGTGAAACCCCGTCTCAAAAAAAAAAAAAAAGTGAAAGCTGCCCGACCTTTTAACCCCTATAGGAACAGGTCCCCTTTCCTGTCATTAGAGATATTTTTCAGAAACAAGTTCAGGAAATACCAGGGAAGATGTCAAGCATAGTGTTTCCATTTTACCCATGTTCCTTGATGTTTCTGCTAAACTGAGCAATGTTTGGATCTGAGAGAGAGGGGTCCCTGTTGCAGGGAAAGGAATATTTTAATGGATTATAAAAATAAGTAAAAACCGGTGATGAGAGGGAAAGTAGAGATATCAGACCACTATGACTATAATATTGAAACTTCACACTTTTGTTTGGCTTTTTGAATAAATAAAGCATTGTAAAAGTGGTTTGAGATTTTTGCAATGTGATTACTATGCTGGCCCTGCAGTGTAAACCTTGGGTAAAATCCTGAGAATGACTTAAAAGAACTCCTGGCAAAACTACTGAATGAGATTACCAAGTCTTCTTTCCTCTCTGGGATGAAACGATGTCTCCAGATCTTTGGGAAGGCCCAAGGAGATGAAGCAAGTCCAAAAACAATAAATCACTGTAGACTTCATTTTCAGTCTATTCCACAGATTTAACATGTATTGAACAGATAAACACTAATTAGGTATACATTGTAGCAATTGCTGAAAGACACTGATAATTTTTTTCAGCATTTCCTCTTGATTAGAGTTAACCAGATTATAGTCATTAAAAATTATAAATTTAAGAATCTGGGCCTGGCATGGTGGCTCATGCCTGTAATCCCAACACTTTGGGAGGGCGAGGTGGGTGAGTCACGAGTTCAGGAGTTAGAGGCCAGCCTGGCCAACATGGTGAAACCCGTTCTCTACTAAAAATACAAAAAACTATCTGGGCATGGTGGCATGCACCTGTAGTCCCAGCTACTAGGGAGGCTGAGACAGGAGAATCACTTGAACCCAGGAGGTGGAGGTTGCAGTGAGCCGAGATCAGGCCACTGCATTACAGCCTGGGTGACAGAGCGAGACTGCCTCGGGGCGGGGAAAAAAGAATCTGGATAATCTGGAGACTGCATATGAATAAATTATTCCTTATGAGACTATCATTTATATCATTATATTGTTTGTATCTATTTTTAAAAATACTCAATTAGTGAAATATTGCATTA